AGCCTTAAGCAGTAGTTCTTTAGATGTTTGGAGGGTCTAATAAACGTTTTACCTTTAGTGGGTTGTTTTTAGTTGTTTTTTTTTTCCAACTAAAATTTGACTTTCTGTTTGAGGAGGTATCATTTCACATGTAACTTTGTCATAACTGCATCAAAGTGCATCTAGATAAGCCAGAAAGTCGACCCAGAACCGTTCCTCTCAGAGCCTGAGGTGAGCTGTGGTGGAAAAGGGGAGAAAAGGAGGCAATGAAAACTTTTTCACTGACCTCCACTGGGATGCTGTCGTCCGAGTCCGAGCTATCATCCGAGTTATGTCCTTCAATGCTCATCTGCAGCAGCTGGTCGATGGTGGCGTCCACAGCTCCTTTGTTGGATCGTAAAACGCACTCAATCACCTCATAGTCCATGGAGGGAAACATTATCTTGAAGTCCTCCATGGCCTGATTGAACTCCAGACGCCTGACTGGCCGGTTGGGCCTGCTGTTGTTGAGCTGGCCTCCAGTTCCACCACCTCCATCTCTACCTCCGCTGCTCTCAGAGCCTTTACTGCTGCCGCCGCTGCGCCTGAACAGGCTGGTCATCCTTTCAGATCGGCCGGCTCAGGAGCTGCCAAGCCACTGATGAAATGGATCCACCTTTCACTCAAAAACCAAACCACTGATTACCTTCAGTCTGGCAGGATTTTCAAACATTCCTTCGAAGATTTTACTCGGAACCAAACCTGGACGGCCTCTTAGCTTTGAGGAAAACTTGAGGTGTAGATTTCATGGAACATGATACCAGAGTCATCACCTAAAACGAGAACAGACAGATTGAATGAGCTGCTGATGTTTATAGGGAACGGTCCAGTTTCACTTCATGGAAACATCATTTACACAAAGCAACATTTAAGCAGTGATTGGATTAGAAGTGAGGCAGCTTCCATGTTCATATCAGACCCTGCGAAAGGGAGGCCAGATCAGTACTTATTACCTCACAAACCAAACATCTGTCTCCCTGCAGGTCTTTCTTACTTCACTATACGCAAAAACAGTCATGTGCAATAATTGTAATTTTGTACTGAGCAGCATTAAAAAATGATTGGGGGAGTGGGGGCCTAGTGGTTAGGGCATAAAGCTTTGAATTCAGAGGTTCTGAGTTCAAGACCCACTCCCACAGACTGCCACTCTAGGTCCCTCAGCAAAGACCCTTAACCTCACACTGCTCTCCAATAGCCACACAATGGCAGCCTACTGCTCCCCAAGGGGAGGGGTTAAATGCAGAGAGTGAATTTCGTTACTCTGTACTTGTGAGAGTGGAATGACAATAAAAACTGGGGGGAAAAAACACAACAATTTGAAAGTACTGTCGATGTATGCAATGTGGTCATATACTATTATATTCTTCTATCTTATTTTACACTGTTTATATGGGAAGGGTTCAATTTTACATATTTAAACTGTCTTATATTCTATTTTGTTCTATTGAACTTAAAATCATATTTTTCTCTCTGCTGTAAACAGTTGCACTGCAAGAAAATAATTTCCCAAAAGGGATTAATACAGTAATTATGATTCTGAGATGATTCTAGTTGCATTGTTTGAAGATTATTTTATTAAAATCTTGATTTTAAGTTTAGAAATCTTTCGTTTTTTGAGTCTCTTAGATGAAACATAGAGGCATAAATCTGTGACTTGTAGTCAGATAGATCAGAGGCGTCAAGTAACAAAGAACTTAAGTATAAATGTTGGCTATCAATACTTTGGCATATAATATTATTTGGCGTCGCATTTCCCTGCGTACAGAGTAGCTATGTGGAGGGGGAGAGACACAGGCAGCTACTTCGATAGATGTTTCAGTAAAAGTTAGGAGATTGGTTGGTTAAAAAAAATAAAAATTAGAGATGCAACAGAAAAGTCCGTTTGTTACACATACGGAGCTTTTTCAGCTAAAAATGGCAGCAGATTGTACATTTATATAAGTTAAAAACGCTGGGCTTCTCAGAGGACCATAACTCAGAGTTACAGATTAAAATGAACACAGATCTGTTGTTTTCTGATTGAACAGAGAATCAGACTGCAGAGCTTCTAGAGATCTGGAAAATGATTTTCTCTGCCATCATTATATTGGTAGACAGGTTTACTGGGATATGCAACATGCAATAAAATATATTTCCACGTTAACAAGAAAAAATACGCAATGCTATAATAAAATTCAACATATCTTTTTGTCTTTTGTAGTTCAACGAGACTCAGAAATAGCTGTGCCAGCAACCCAGAGAGAGTCGGAAATATAGAATTAAAATTAAAGTATAAGAAACCTGCAGGAATTAAATCACAAATAATAAAAATCTGTGTACAAATATAAGGTTCAAATTATGGACTTTGGCTGTCCATGACATATGGGACGAATTCCTAAATTAGATTTTGCTGCTTGAGAAGAAGGATAATCACTAATGCAGCTTAAAGGGAAGCCATGCATGGATGCATGGATGGATGGAAGGAAGTGAAGTTGTGTCCATAATAGGGATGCAGGATATATTGATGTAGTATGGACACAACTTCGACTCCATCCATCCATCCAGCCATGCATGGCTTCCCTTTAAGCTGCATCATCAATATCGGCTGTTTTTCGTCATTTTTTATACATCAATAGTTTTGAACCTTTATAAAATAACGCATTAAAAGCAGGCACCTGTCTATAACTATACATATCAGTGTACTGTGGTTCTCTTGTGTTCTCAACAATATGAAAGCATTCAATAAATATAGGTTTCTCTTTTTTGGTAAATATAAACACTATTGAAAGCGTTCGGGTGGAGTAGCTGTAGGTCCATGAGCCAAGTTACAGCCTTGGGTTAGAGCTATAATCAATAAAAAAATGCATTATGTGCATCAAAATAAAAAGTATCAGCTGTTTGTAAAGCATGAACCGTGAAATCCCAGATTTGTAATTGGTTATTTTTCTCTCGAAAACATCACAGTGGGAATTTGGCCTCAAAAAATGCTAAATATAACAAAAATCCCTTGATATTTTTATCTCTAATGTGCAAACAGCTCTTCGTTGCAGAGTGGCTTTCAGTGGTGTTCTTTGAAGCTTGGACTACCTCTCTGTTTGACTGGGTTGATGCTAACTGGCTAAAGGTACCTAGCTGTCATCATTAATAAAAGCCTGGAAAGCTGTCCAGGCAAAGCGAGAAACATCCAAACAAACACATATTAGCTCCATCTGACAGCAGGGCGCAGCTCTGAATGCTAAAGCAGGATGCAGCCTTCAGACCTCAGCTGTTATAGAGTCAGTTTCTATCTTTTAAAGAAACAAATATAATCTAAATATGCTCTCACCTCACAATGCTAACGGCCATGCTAACTGTTCGGGTTACTTACTGATTATTATACAAAGTCGGGTCTGCAGCCGCTTCCAGGCCGGAAGTTTGAACTTTTATCCGATCAAACGGGCCCTCCCGCTGAGGAATGCAGAGGCAGACTGGGGGGGTTTGTGTTATTGACGTTATGGTTACAGAGTAAACAGGGCTCTACTAAAGCCCCACAGCCTGAAAGCCTTTAAGGTCCGTGGATTTAACTTCCGGTTGACGCATGCGCAAAAGAGAACTGGTCCGAGTTTCCTTCCGGTTCATAACTGTCTAATAAACAACACATTTTCATTAGTTGAATATGTAAACCAATCGCGTACTTTTGTCCTTTTGCTTGCTTTTAACGCGCCACCTCCATGTTTATTACCGAGAGAAATAAGAGGCGTTACCCATGGCAACCAGTCTGGTTTGACCACAAGTTAGCACGCTACTGCCACCTAGTGGTGTGGGGTTTGAGTTGGACTCATATGATGCTCCTTCTTAAATATATTAAACTGTTCCCTGAAAGCTTTAACTTACTTCACATTTTTTAATATATATTTTCCTATTGTAAATCCGTCTGAAAACGAAACAATTGTTCTTCCCTCCCTAACTTGCAATAGTATCATATATAAAATCCTGTTTGCTGATCAAACTGTATTTAGTGCTTCCGTTTAGCCTGGTGTACCCAAATTCTTTCATCCTTTTATCCAGTTTTAATTTCTTTTGACCCGTTTCCATCTCTCACTCAATTTGTTTTTTTAGTTTCACAAAAACTGGAAACTTACTTCCAGTCTTTGCTTCCTTATCTTCAGGGTATATATTACGTGCAAAGTTCAGATCAATAATGTTCACGTTGTACATTGAATGTTTTAAGATGTCTGCTCTGCTTTCTGAAAAGTTGGTTTTAAACATTTACTCAAGAACTGCAATCTGAATAATTGACCAATTTTCATGGTGTTATAAACATCGGCTATCTAAAGCATTTCTCCTGTTTATACACTTTACTATTGCATTAAACTGGGAAGAAAAAAATTGTCCAACTCCATTAAAGTCTGTATAAATTAGTAACTAAAATTCTGACTCAGATTTCTATCTTGTATGAGGTTTAATTGATTTATTTATTCCTCATATCTCCTTTCCAGAAAGAGGAGATATGATGGACACTGTAATGTTCTCTCTCAGCAGAACAGATGACCCTCCAACCTGCACTGCAGAGTTCTTCTTGATCAAAACAAATAAACCCAAGAAAGAGTTTGATGCATTTGATCAGAAACATGTTTTTTTAAAGTCACAAAACATGTTCGAAAAGGAGTCTTTAAGATCAAACAAAGAAAATCATGAAAAATAAGCATTTCAAGCAGCTAATCTCTAAACTATTGAGAAAGTGTTTAACTGCAAGCAGGAATTCATAATGAAAAAGAGTATTCATAAGTTACTGAGATAAATTAACTTTCCGATATTCTAAATGGTCTTAATATGACTAAAGAAAGTTTTGATTTAAATGTGTCTTTAAGGAGAAAAGTGAAACATTAAGAATAAAAATAGGCATCAATAATACATTTTTAGATTTTAAATGACCAAACATGCAGCTGTCAGTTTGTCCAGGTCCTAAAACAGCATTTGGAAAACAGGATGCAATAAAAACCAACCAAAAAAAAACCAGCCGGACCATAAACACTTAATAACTTTATTATTTCCCTTTTGGATCTGTACAATCAAATCAAACGTCAAGTGATCCTAGCAAAGTCAGATATGTACAGGTTATTGAAATGCCTTCAGTTATAGCTGTTTTGACCCCCATTTAGATCCAATTAGAGGTCGTCTAGTTATGCTATCCTCGGTTTCATGATTGAAAATGCAATGGGTGGGGTGGGGGGGGGACTCAGAAAAGACAAAAACAAAACAAAAAACAAAACAACCGTCTCATTCTCCAGCGCTGCAGAAAATTAGTCCCATCTTATTTACAGAGAAATGAGCAGAGCCATGACAGATTCTTCAGTGCTGAGCGATGGACTCTTCAGACAGACAGACAAAGCGAATGAAAGCAGCCGCGGGTCTGACAGGTCCGAAGACACATAACACCGTGCCGATCCAATAACTCGTTTTCTGCTTCTGAGTCACTTTTCCTTCCGTTTCACTCGACTAACCTGTTTTTATCAGCGGCTAAATAAAGCCCATCGTGAAACAGATTTTAAACGTCAAATAGAAAACATGTTTCCCGTTGCCATGGCGACTCCACCCCTCAGAGTAAATGAAAACAAAGCCGCCTTATTGCCAGAACGTCAGTTTCAGTTCTTTTACAGTAGCTGCATCAAATTAGAAGCGCATCATTTACTAGAGTAGGCATTATTGCACAGGGAAGATCTGAAACTGTCACAGGAAATATGATGACAAACGGTTGGGTTTAAAGTGGTCCTCACTGTTCTGAGAGCAGCAGCGTTTTAGTGTGACTCCCTCTGTGGAGGGGTCCCTTTAGATCAGCGGCTCGTTTCACCGAGGCTGACCAGGGGTCAGTGTTGATCCACAGCAGGCTGAGCTTCATACTTCCTACTCTTACATTCCTGCAACCTGATGCACGGCTGCTTAAGATGTTTCATTCTGGGGTAACTGGTTTTAGTGCTGGAACGGTACCATGGGAACAACTATAAATAAGGATTGATCTGAGGATCAAATGTAAATCTAGAAAAACAAACAACTTTCAAGTTTTAGTTCAGGACTTTTCTGCATTGATTTACTTTTTCAATAACATCAATATATTTCTGGTTAACACTACAGCCTCATCCAAAAAACACCATTTTGGATCAAAGTCGACTTTAAAAATCAGTTTTTTTAATCTTTTCTGGTCTAATATCCACGAATCAACCTGAAACTTGAGCTGCTGAGGAGCTCCGGCACCAACTGGGATTTCATTAAGGTTTATGGTAGCTCAGAATTAAATGGCGGCTTTAAGATGATTTGTTTTAAGTAGCGTTTCTCCGACATCAGACCCACGCACCATAACAAAGAAAAATTTTCAAAAAACGATGACAGTGAAAGAAATAAACACCATTAGGTTTCCTGCTTGGATGTCAGTTTGACCTGGAGCAGCAGAATTCAATCATTTCATATTTAATCCTGGAAAACTGTCTTTTTTTTTAATAGAAGTTCTGCTGTTGACCAATCAGAAGCTTCTGATCCTGCAGAAAACCTCCACTAACGGCAGCCAATGTGTCGGATAGCGTTCATCTACCTCTGAACATCTCAACAACATGAATGTTCAATAATGAGCCAGCTTTTACTCAATAAGTCTTTTTAAGAAAAAAATAGAGTGCTTTTTCATGGGAAGTGTGTAAATGTGGGCTGGTCCACCAACGTGCACCAAAGACCGGGGAGGAAAGGCAGGCTGTCCGCTCGTCTCCCTCTACTACAGTCTAGAAAGGTCCACAGGAAGCTGCCTGGTTGTCAGCCCAGCATTCCCACAGCGTTCCACAACAGACAGACCTGCTAGAGAACAGTCAGGACGTCATGCATGCGTCTGTCCTCTAAGCCAGCATGATGAGCCACTGTTCCAGGGGTTTATGCTAGAATGGGAGCAAAAAATATATAATTCTGGAGCCTTTATTGTTACAATACCTCTTCTTTTTTTTAAATTATATGGTTTTTAGACCAAAACTGAAGTCCATCTTGGAGAGGTGCCGTTTCCCTGTTGACTTTGCCTGAGGATAAAGTCTCTCTGCTTTCCGTTGGGTTGAAGAGTGGAAGAGCAACGAAACGATCTTCTCAGTGGTGTTCCTGGTGGGTGGGATCCCCAGGATGAGCTGCTGACAACAGGAATGAGCTTCCTTCATGACTTCCTCTGGGCTGGAGCGGAACTCAGAACCCATCCGCCCACACAGCCAGGCCCCTCTCTGCCACGGTGCGGTTCACCGAGACCACCTGCAGAACAGAACCAGGGGTAAGAACCGGAACCAAGCTTTCAGAACTTTGGTACAGAGGTCCGATTATGTGTTCTGTGTCTAAAGACTTCATGACGAATCCTTCTAGAGTTTGTTCAAGAACCTAACTAGAACGAAACCCCACGCACATGGGGTCCGACTGCAGAACCGAACCCGACGCACACGGGGTCCGACTGCAGAACCGAACCCCACGCACACGGGGTCCGACAGCCGAACCGAACCCGGCGCACATCAGGTCCGGCTGCAGAACCGAACCCCACGCATACGGGGTCTGACTGCTGAACCGAACCCGGCGCATACGGGGTCCGACTGCTGAACCGAACCCGGCGCATACGGGGTCCGACTGCTGAACCGAACCCGGCGCACAGCGGGTCCGACTGCAGAACCGAACCCGGCGCACAGCGGGTCCGACTGCAGAACCGAACCCCACGCACACGGGGTCCGACTGCAGAACTGAACCCGGCGCACACGGGGTCCGACTGCAGAACCGAACCCGGCGCACACGGGGTCCGACTGCAGAACCGAACCCCACGCACACGGGGTCCGACAGCCGAACCGAACCCGGCGCACATCGGGTCCGGCTGCAGAACCGAACCCCACGCANTCCGACTGCAGAACCGAACCCCACGCACACGGGGTCCGACAGCCGAACCGAACCCGGCGCACATCGGGTCCGGCTGCAGAACCGAACCCCACGCATACGGGGTCTGACTGCAGAACCGAACCCGGCGCACACGGGGTCCGACTGCAGAACCGAACCCCACGCACATGGGGTCCGACTGCAGAACCGAACCCCATGCACATGGGGTCCGACAGCCGAACCGAACCCGGCGCACACGGGGTCCGACTGCAGAACCAAACTAGACGCACATTCTTGAGCCAAAAGGTGGATCCAGACGTACCTCATCTCCAACCAGGTTCCACAGGTGAACTAGGGGCAGTCCCGTGTTGTTGTCATAGTTTGAGACCTTCCAGAGAAACGCAGACAAACTGTTAGCATGAAGCGGTTCTGTTACTCTGAGGGGATTCAGGCATAAAGCCGGTCATACCTGAGCTAGCAAGGCAACACCTCTGGTCAGTTCTTCTAATGCGGTTGTAGCGTCTGTGGAGAAACAATCCTCTCCTGTTGAATAAAGAGAACTTATTAAACAACAAGGCGCCCGCTTTCTTCAATCCAGAAGGTTTAGAGGCAGAAAATGTGTGTCCAAGGCCTCTTCTATGATACCAAAGAAAGCATCATTACAACATTTCATTTCCCTTTGGGGTCAATAAACCAAAGATGAGACACTTAATGACGGACTGCAGAGATATAACTGGGGCTGGGAAGTTAGAATTATATCCTGTTTAGGGCTGGGTAACGAACTTCGGTTCTTTTATGGTACCGACCGAAATGCTTCGGTTCTACAGAGTATCTAAACATGCCTCGTCTTTCGGTACCAAGTTTCGGTGATTGGCTGTAACACTTAACGTGATTGCGTCATCCAGGAAAAATACACAGGTGGTCCCGTCTACAGCCAGGGTTCATGTGTATCTGTTGTGAACTGGTTGCGAGCGTCGTGGAACCCCTTTAAAATGCCCCCCAGGTCAAAAGTGCGGCTTCACTTTATTAACATTGATGCCAATATTGCGCAATGCAATACATCGTGCACGGAAACAATTTAAGAGCAGAAAGTTGCTCGGTGTTTAACTTAACACTCTGAACGCTAATCTGGAAGCTGCTGCTGCCGCGGTGCATGCTGGGATAGCTGTCAATCTCAACAATGCACAAGTCCGCTCTGATGTATGCTGGGTAAAGAGGGAGGGGCCAGACAACAGTTTGTCTATTCTTGGTCTTGTGTTCTTGTGAGTTGATGTTGAGGACCGTGGCCACCAGCGGAGCTCTGAGGCTAACCGCAGCCAGGGCTAACGTTAGCCCGTCTGCAGTAGCTCCCTCTCTGCAAAGTGAAGTAGTGCTGGTTGTGGTTTTATTTATATGGTCTGTGTTTATCTGGCTATGCTAATCATTATTCCCCCGCTAAATGAAGAACGTAATTTATTATTATTAGCTATAGACCAGTAATAACAGGAGGCAACATGCAGCTCCATGCTACCTTTGAATGTGGTGATGTCACGCGTACGCTTCTGTTCTGCACGCTCCCGTTCTCTCCAAATCCATACTTCCTGTCTTCTTGTGAATTCAGAACCGGCTATAGCATTTTCACTCACGGATATTTTATTGTCAGACATGCATCCTAAAAACAGCATTCCTCAAAAGGAACACCGTGTTCTCTAACTGGTTTCCACTCTGTGGTCCCAGCAGGTAGGAGTGGGTGAGAAGAACTGTTTTTTTTCCTTAAGGGGAGATTTGGTGGCGGTGTTGCTCTAACCATGTGCAAAAGGTGAGAGAACATAGTCTTTACTGGTATTAACATTTCTTTACTGGGTCAATGTGTACTAAAATGGTTTTAAAGTGTGCAACTACTATAGGAATGTAAAACTGTTAAGAGTTTGAGCTTTAAGAGAAATAACTGAAAATAATTTAATAGATAAAATATGCTTTTTGAAACAGAAAAAGCTGTAGAACCCAGGGATGAAACATTTAAAGCTTCAGAATGAGGATCACCGACCTGGTAGTGGGGTGATGTTGTCAAGCAGCACTTCTGCTCCTTGGAAGGGTAGTGTTACAAAATCCGATCTGCAGAAAAGGCACCAATAGATTAGGACATTTAAAGACATAGATCCCATAAACTGAAGGCGTCACGTTATACTGGGATCAAAACAGTTAGCAGTGAGCTGATGGACGTGGAGTCCAGCTCCATGTCGTCTGATGACCTGTCAAAGACTGGAGCTTTTTGGTTAGAATCATCTTTACGTTTCACTGGGGGCCAACAGAGCAGAAAAAACTGTATAGTTTATCTCCTAATACAGAGTAATGCTACATTCAGACCACACGCTGCAGAAGGAGCAAAAAAGTGCGTGCTGCTTTATTTTTGATGCTTGCACAAGTTTGGTTCCGACACACAGCTGAAGCATCTTTGCTGCGCAGTCAAAAAGTGGGTCTGATGCGCGTTGGGTGGAGCTACCCTATCTTTTCTTTGCCTGGAACAATGGCGGATTAAATCAAGTCAATTAACTTATTTTAACAAATAATGCTAAATTCAGACCGCAAGGGCTGGAAGCAGCAATAAAGCTTCTGCTGCTTCATTTTTCATGCTCGTCCACATTAAGGTCAGACGTCCAGTAGAGTGTGTCCAGATGCGTCTGATGCTTCTGCTGCTCCTGTGTTCAATTGCAGAGAGCGGCTTTGCTATATTTGCTGTGATCAGCGGGTAAAAAGTAGTTTAAATAGATTTTTAAGTTAGAAAGTCCACCTGAAAAAATTAGCTGTACAGTCAGTTCATCCAGATAAAATCCTGCCTTTAAATATTTCTCTGTCCGAGCCGCTCAGACCCCCGTACACCGATGGCGCGCCGTCACTGGAAATCCCCTTCAACAGCAGCCTCTAAGGCATTTCCGCAACTGTTTGTAGCGACACAAAGGCATTTCTCATGTACGTAATCCAAACTGCAGGCACCAGGATAATAAAATCAAACATATTTTACCGGCAGCTTTCTACATTTTAAGTTAATTTAGGCGTTAAACTGTTTCAGAGGAGTGATCATAGCGCTCTGCATCAGCAGTGCTGTCTCTGACTCCCTGCTAGCTGCCAGATCAGCTTCTCTGATTGGTTGATGTGGCGCGTCCAGCAGGAAAAGTAAAATTTTTTCAAGCTGCTTTCGCAGCGTGTTGCACGTTAGATGACCAGAAGCCAATGCCCCTTGACATGCCTCAACCATCGACTTTGCATGTAAACCTGCTGCTTCTGCTGCCTCTAGCAAGTAGGGCTGGGTTTAAAAAAAAATAAAAATAATTTTAAAAAATCGATTTAATGGATTTTGAATCGATTCCTTTACATTTTTGCAAAATCAATATCTAGGGAATGAGATCGATTCATTTTATAGTGACGCATGTGACGTTCACATTCAAATGAGCAGGAAAGATTCACTCAAGATGACTTCAAGCCAGACAGCTGCAAATATAGCTAATAGGTTGATTGAAGACATTAACAAATGGGGGCTGACCAGAAAACACCCTGTAGTTGTTACAGACAACGCTGCAAGTATGCTTTGTGCAGGAAGATAATGCAGCTCATGCATGTCTGCACTTTTGAGACAATTTTGTTCACATCTCAAGTTTAAATTGTCCGATTTACAAGTTTGCACTTTGTGTTTAATATGACAGGAAAAAAATTAAATATATGACTATTTTGAAACACAGTTGAGCCACTTTTATTATTGTAAAAACAGATAGAATCGAAATTAATCAATTTAGAACTGTATGGATCAAAATCGAATCGATTCAGGACTTTGGCGAAAATACCCAGCCCTAGTAGTGCGTGCGGTGTGAACGTAGAATAAGAGAAACAGAATGAAGCGGTTCTGATCCTACAAGCAATGGCCTCCATTTGCCTTCGCTGGTGCCGTTTCTGGCCCTTCAAAAAGGGGACGTGAGTAAATACTGTGAAACCCTTCTGGACAGCCTTCCAAATGTATTCCCCCTTTATCATGACCATCATGGCTTAAACGAATTGTAGCCTGTATTATAACCATGGATTCATCATTTTAGTTTAGAACAGCTTAAAAAAAAACAAAAAACTGTTTAGATAATCTCCTTAAATGCTGTAACCATGAACCAGATAGAAGCAAACGTCAGACCGGTGACACGTGCCTGATTTGCCGCAGTGAATCAATCTTCACTTTGTCGTAGCCTCCGTAGTCGACGTATCTGATCTCCACCTCGTCGGTTTCTTTGTAGAAGGTGATGACCTGAGCCCTCCACCACGCTCCATCCACTGCTGGAGCTGCACAGATGACTCCAACTGGAAGGAAACAAACAGCATTTCGGTTTAAACCAAAAACTCATACGTTTTGCAGCAGCAAACATTCTAATACAGGGGCCGGGAAGCCGCGGCTCTTTAGTGCGCCCCCCTTGTGGCTCCATGGAGCTCTTTCAAAAATGTATAAAATGTTTTATGTTATTATGGTGCAGGAGGTCAAACAAACATTCATTATGTTTCCTAATGCTGTGAAAATGTGTATAATAAATCAATTTAAACAATAAATGTAAACATTTCTTTCAATGAAAATCAGTGAGAGATCAGTGGTCATGGTCTGCAACATGTTTCAGCGCAGCGACGTTCCAGGGAAACAAAGCGGCGGGTTTGTCTCAGGCCATGGATCCCAAAAGGTAAAAAAAAGGAAGATAGCTGATGAGAATAGAGGCTTCAAAGAATCATTTGCTTTTATCATGAATACGGAAGGATTGCCTGCATTTAAACTCTCATTTTTTGACAATGAGAGTTTTTCAAAAAATAAAACGAGTAATTTGGAAAGGCATTTCCAGGGGAAGATATGCTAAATATGCAGCTGATCAAAAAGTTGGGGGTGAGACAAAAAGTCAGTTTGCACAACTTTTTAAAGGAGAGCAAAGATACATCTAAGAAATGGATTTCATCTCCAAACTCCGATACTGCTGCTGGTTTTGTTGCAAGCATAGAAAACCGTCCACAGATCCAACAGGTAGCTCTAACATGCAGGTATGTGAACTTTCTTCCATTTTTTTTCCCAAATCCTCAAAATAAAAATAGCACCAAGGAACGCTGGTGGTGGAGGATGTGGGATTTCAGGCTTAGAGAGCTCTGCTCTGATGGATGTCAGTTCCTGCTTGGTTCCTCACGACTCAATCAACTCCTCCCAACAGAAACACGTCCACCATATAGGGGTGTAAATAATAATAGTTTTGTATCGATGCATCGATCCAANCGTCGGTTTCTTTGTAGAAGGTGATGACCTGAGCCCTCCACCACGCTCCATCCACTGCTGGAGCTGCACAGATGACTCCAACTGGAAGGAAACACAGACATCAGCATTTCGGTTTAAACCAAAAACTCAAACGTTTTGCAGCAGCAAACATTCTAATACAGAGGTCGGGAAGCCGCGGCTCTTTAGCGCCCCCCCCCCCCTTGCGGCTCCCTGGAGCGTTTTCAAAAATGTATCAAATGTTTTATGTTATTATGGTGCAGGAGGTCAAACAAACATTCATTATGTTTCCTAATGCTGTGAAAATTTGTATAATAAATCAATTTAAACAATAAATGTAAACATTTCTTTCAATGGAAATTTGCGTCGTAGCCCTAGAGATCAGTGGTCATGGTCTGCAACACGTTTCAGCGCAGCGACGTTCCAGGGAAACAAAGCGGCGGGTTTGTCTCAGGAAAAGGAAGATAGCTGATGAGAACGGAGGATTCAAAGAAGAATGAACTGAATCATTTGCTTTCATCATCAATGCGGAAGGATTGCCTGCATTTATGCTTTGTAATGAAAGTTTGTCAAAAAATAAAAAGAGTAACTTGGAAAGGCATTTCCAGGGAAGACATGCTAAATATGCAGCTGATCCAAAAGTTGGAGTCGAGAGAAAAAGTCAGTTTGCACAACTTCTGGATAAAGGAGAGCAAAGATAGATTTAAGAAGTGGATTTCATCTCTAAACTCCGCTACTGCTGCTAGTTTTGTTGCAAGCATAGAAAACCGTCCACAGATCCAACAGGTAGCTCTAACATGCGGGTATGTAAACTTTCTTCCATTTTTTTCCCCAAATCCTCAAAATAAAAATAGCACCAAGGAACGCTGGTGGTGGAGGATGTGGGATATGGGGGTCAGAGAGGTCTGCTCTGATGGATGTCAGTTCCTGCTTGGTTCCTCATGACTCAATTCCTCCCAACAGAAACACGTCCACCTTAGAAAGATTCCTTTAGCGTGTTTCTATGATTTCATCAATGAAATAAAAGAAGACATGAAGATGTCGCAGCAAGGAGAGGCGGAGGAAATTGTTTCAAAGAAGGGTTTTTGTAGTTCGCCAGTTTGGCAAGTCGGACAAAAAACAAACCACAGTCATCTGTAAAATGTGTAGAGAACCAGTGAAAACCAAGTCTGATAAAAAAAAAAAAAGTTGGTTGTTTTATCATCTCAGCCGCTCACACCCGCAGGAGTACGAGCTGTGTAGGCCCCGGCGCGGCTCTCCTCCGAGGAATCTTCGTAAAATATATATATTTTTTCAGTTCTGGGCAGTTTCCCACGTAGTTCAATTGAGATAAAAATGCTGAGGGGCCAGAAACTTCAAAGTGATAACTCAGGTTAAAGCAGGAAACGGGGGCGG